TTTGGGGAGGTTGTTATTCGGGGCTGACTGTCGCAAAGTAATTGGGGGTTCAGGGCTTGGAGCTGCGTGGGAAGCGGTCGTGGTGTGTGACCCCGAAATCCCCCTAATATGAAAACCAAACCACCGGATTTGAGTTTTTATATTAGGGAGGGGGGGGGGGAGGGGGGTTTAATAATCAGGGGAAGGGATTATACAGAATTTAATTAGGGTCTAGGTTCCTGAGTAGTACCCTTTTGCCCTTTTTATATTGGGGTCTCCTTATTAAAACCGAATGTTAGGAAAAAGGGTGCCCTTATTATTTAGGGGTCACTCAGGAACCTAGGGGTCGATAGGGCTATGAGGGTTTTGCGGTTATGGGTTTAGCGCTTTGGGTTGGTGTGTTTCACGATTTAAGCCTATACACCCTAAACCCTGAACCCTTCAGTGCCGTTCTCCTAGCCAACCCTCCGTGCGTAAGGTTTGCGGCGGAAGGGCAGGTATAATATTATTTTGCACCATACTACACTCTATCATCTCATATTATATGGTAATACACTATTGAATAACCAATGATATTATATTGTCCCTAAACCCTAAACCCTAAACCCTAAACCCTAAACCTTAAACCGTTATTGTCCACCTGCGCTGCTGAAGGATTCAGCATCAGGGTTGGGGTTGCGAAGGGTTTGGGGCCGACAGCTCTGAGAGTTGGCGCCTTCCTTTGCACAGTGCCTGTTGTAGGACTTCAACCCTTAACCCTAAAACTTAAACCCTAAACCCCCAAGGCCTAAACCCTAAACCCTAAACCCTAAATCCTAAACCCTAAATCCTAAACCCTAAACCCTAAACCCTAAAACTTAAACCCTAAACCCGATAGCTCCTTCTGGGGTTGGGGCTTCAAATCCGGGCTTGACGTGAAGGTCTTCTTGGACTCTAGACATCAGGAATTCATTAGGGACCCAAAAAGCACATAAGCATAAGCTTTTTGTAGGGATATCCCTACCTTATTGGGCTTCATCATAAGGGGATTTATATGGGATATCCGGATCCTAATGTTTGCTTATGTGCTTTTTTGGGGCCCTAATTCAGGGCTTCATAGAAGCCGGGATCCCCTATGGCGGCTTCTGGTCAGGATCCTACTTGTGGGATTGTTAGGTTTCTGAAGCTTCCGTTTAGGGTTGGTGCCGTTGGTGCCACATGGAGGCCCCTGAACCCCAAATCCCTAAACCCTAAACCCTAAACCCCCAAATCCTAAACCCCAAACCCTTAACCCCTAAACCCCTAAAGCCTTAAACCCTAAACCCGAAACCACGTTGAGGCTAACCTTGGCCGACGCTCTGCTGTTCTGCCAGGAGAAGGGCGTCACGGAGGCGTGATTTGCAAATCATGCCTCTGGGCTTGCTTGCTGCGTAACATTCCGCTCAAAAGTACCGTTGCTGCCTTTATTTGGGGAGTTTGCGACAACAAGGCTCCTAGTAAGACGAGTCACGCTAAAGGCCATACAAGCTTGTCAAGTCGCACTTCTACAGCTTTGAGAATTTCAATCGTTGTTGGTACTATTGTTCTTGTTTTTACATTCCTACTTCTTAAACTTCTTATTGCGATTGTTCTTATCACCACTACGATTATTGTTAGAGATTACTCTAAGATTGATTTTTCTTCCTGTTATTCGTAATCGTAGCTATATTATTATCATTCTTATCGCTCTTACTATTCTTAACTTTTCTTCTTATTATTCCTATAACTTTTATTGTTATTTCTACTAATCAATATGGTTCCAGCTACGATTCAACTTCCATTTGGAGATCGCCAGAGGCTCTGGGGGGATATAACCGAACCCGCCTATAAACTCTTCAGCTCTTGAAGTGTCAAACCCGCCTTTCGGTTTAGGGTCTAGGGTTTGGGGTTCAGGGTTTAGAGGGGTTTAGGGTCTAGGGTTTAGGGGACCAGAAAGTTCACTTTACATCCGACCGAATGTAGACTTCGGGATTCTAGAAGAAGTAGGGCGTGATAGCTTCAGGTCCGCCCAGCACATGAAGAGGCGTAGAGTTCGCTAAACCATGATCAGCGCCTGACGACAGTGAACCTCAAAACTAAGACCTGAACCCTTAAACCGTTTTGTTCAGACTCTCTCAGAAGCATAGATACTCCAACCGGAAACTGCACGATGAATTGCCAAACCTGATTCATGATTTCTCGCAGCGTAAGGCTCTTATTCACTGCTACCGGCGCCACCTTAAGCCACCCTACACCCTAGCACCTATGCCCACTCGGCGTAGGGACCAACCCTAGTTCCTCTCTATCCCTCTCTCCCTCGGTCCCTCTCTCCATCTCTCTCTCTCTCTCTCTGTCTGTGCCTCTCTGTATATATGTTTATATACAGGCAGTACAGAAACTTGCGACGAAGCCAGGTGGTGGACATCGCGACTTTGACAGGGGCCTGCATGGTTGCCCTCGGCCAGGGCATCACGGGCGACTGCCTCAGGTTTTGCAATTCCTACATACGACCACTTCACTCGTCTGTTCGTTTAGTTATGCTGCCATTGCCAGTTGTGGTTGTGGTTGCCGTCATCGTCGCCGTCTTCTCCTGATTTTTCTTCCTCTCATTCGTCGTCGTCGTCGTCGTCGTTGTCGTCTTTGTCGTCTTCTTCTTTGTCGTCGTCATTGTCGTCATAGTTTGTTATGCTTGTTATGCTGGCCCAGTATGTGATTGCAAATTGTTGTCGTCGTCGTCGTTGTCCCCGTCACTGTCGCTGTCGCTGTCGTTGTCGTTTTCGCTGTCGCTGTCGTTGTCGTGGTCGTTATCGTTATGTTTGTCGTCGTCGTCCTTGTCGCTGTCACTGTCGTTGTCGTTTTCGCTGTCGCTATCGTTGTGTTGTGGTTGTCGTCGTCGTCGTCGTGGTTGTTGTTGTGGTTGGTCTTGTTGTTGGTCTTGTTGTCGGTATTTTCCTTGTTCATATTGTCGTTGTTGTTGTTGTTGTCGTTGTTGTGGTTGTTGTGGTTGTTGTTGCTGTTGCTGTTGCTGTTGTTGTTGTTGTTGTTGTTGTTGTTGTTCTTGTTCTTGTTCTTGTTCTAGTTGTAGTTGTTGTTGTTGTTGTTGCTGTTGTTGTTGTTGTTGTTGTGGTTGTTGTGGCTGTTGTTGCTGTTGCTGTTGCTGTTGCTGTTGTTTTTTTTTTGTTGTTGTTGTTGTTGTCGTTGTGGTTGTTGTTGTCGTTGTTGTTGTTGTCGTCGTCGTCGTGGTTGTTGTTGTGGTTGTTGTTGCTGTTGTCGCTGTTGTTGCTGTTGTTGCTGTTGTCGCTGTTGGTGTTGGTGTTGGTGTCGTTGTCGTTGTTGTTGCTGTTGCTGCTGTTTCTGCTGTTTCTGCTGTTTCTGCTGTTTCTGCTGTTTCTGCTGTTGTTGTTGTTGTCGGTGCTGCTGTTGCTGTTATTGCTGGTGCTGCTGTTGCTGCTGCTGGTGTTGTTGTTGTTGTTGTTGTTGGTGGTGGTCGTGTTCGTGTTGGTGTTGACGTCGTCGGCGTCGGGTCGTCACCCTCCGGGTCGTAAGTTGCGGCCGCTGCGTTGGTAGAGGGGTCAGTTGTGTCTTTTCTGGCTCACTTGTGACTTCTGTTTCGGTTCACTTGTGACTTCTCATTTGGCGCCCTTGCAAAAATCCAAGCAGGGGCCGTCTGTAGAATAGATGATGGGGCCTGACGCATGAAGTAGCATCGCCAAATGAGGGGCAGTGTGTAAGATATATGATGAAACGGAGTCGCCAAGCGAGGGGGTGTTAGTGTTTAAGATATCTTGACCCGGAATCGGCAAATGAGGGGGCGTGTTCTTGAACCCGCGTCGCCAAACGAGGAGGCGTGTTTAAGATAGATGATGGAGCGACATCGCTAAATGAATCGCCAAACGGGAGGTGTGTTTAATATATATTGTGAAGTGGAATGGCCAAGCCAGGGGCCGTGTTTGAGATAGATGATGAAGTAGCATCGCCAAATGAGGGTGCCTGTTTAAGATATATGATGAGCTGGAATCGCCAAACGAGGGGGCGTGTTTAAGATACATGATGCAGTGGCATGGCCAAATGATAAGGGCGTGTTTAAGATATATGATGAACCACCATCGTGATACCGGAACCGTTTCATGAGGGGGCATGTGCAAGATATACGACAACAAACCGGAATCGCCAAACGAGGGGGCGTCTTCAAGATTCTTGAACCGGAATCGCCAAACGACGGGCCGTGTTTAACATAGATGATGAAGTAGCGTCGCTAAGTGAAGGGATGTGTTTAAGATATACCATACGCCGGAATCGCCAAACGAGGGGGCGTGTTCGAGATATATCATGAACCGGAATCGCCAAACGAGGGGCGTGTTTAGGATAGATGATGAAGTCGCATGACCAAATGAAAGGGCGTTTTTAAGATATGCGACGCGATGAACCGGAATCGCCAAACAAGGGGGCATGTTTGAGATATATGAGACAATGGCATCGCCAAACCAGGAGCCGTCTTTAAGATAGGTGATGAAGTAGCATCGCCAAACGAGGGGTGTTCAAGATATACGATGAACCGGAATCGCCCAACGACGGGGCGTGCGTAGGGGATTGTAGGTGCCGTTTTAAGATAGATGATGAAATACCATCGCCGAATGAGGGGGTACGTTTTAGATATAAGATAAAACGGAATCGCCAAACGAGGGGCCATTTTTAAGATATATGTTGAAGCGGAATCGGCAAACGAGGGGGGTGGGTTTAAGATACATGTTGAACCGCAATCGCCAAACGGGGGGGCATTTTAAGATATATGAGGCTGAGGCACTGACATCGCCAAATCAGGGGCCAAATGCGGGGGCGTGTTTACCCTGCGGGTTCACTTCCGAGGGTGGTTCAAAGTGTCCTTCATGCCAACAGCTTCATCTCCTGTTTCTACACACACACATGCACAAACCTATATACATATGTATATCTATCTGTATATATACAGCTATATACATATATATATATATATACACACACACACGCATGCACATCCTTTGCCAACAGCTGAAAGAGAAGACATGGCGCAATTAGCCCCCCCAACCCCCCCCAGCTGCTACGAAACGCGCATAGCGCATTTTGTCTTCCGGAGGCCTTTCCATAGTATGTTGCGGAAAAGTAGGCACGCAATGCAAGTACTGCAAAATGCTGCAAATCGCAGCATTTTAAGGACTTTTTTTAGCATGCAGCACACGTGCAAACCTCAGTACGGAGTTGAAGCACCGAAAACGCACCGTCGCAACTGAACCCGCCAGCCGTGTTTATGAACCGGAATGGCCAAGCGAGGGGGCATGTTTAAGACATATTTTGACCAAGGCGGAGAAGTCACGATTGATTTTCGCCGAGAAGGCTTGCAAATCCTTCTGTCAGAGAATTCACAAGGCGGAGTAGTCACAAGTGATTTGAAGCACTTTCGCCGAGACGTGTTGCAGACTCTTGTGTCATGGAAGTCACAAGTCAGCCAAAACAGAAGTCACAAGTGACCATCTCTCAGGCATGCCTGCAGAAGTCAGAAGCGAACCGCCTTCCGCTGCATTTGTTGCTGCTGTTGTTCTTGTTGGTGAGATTGTTGTTGTTGTTGTTGTTGTTGTTGTTACCACCGCGGCTCACAGCAGGCTGTGTAGTTCGTACCAACCGAGCTCCTGGCGCAACGGGTAAACTTTTGCAGCAGGCATTTTTGGCAAGTGGCAAAAGACGTTCTGACTGAGCCATTTGCTCTGGAACAAGGAGCAGCGCTACCCGCTACCCCGCCTTTGACCTTCCTCTGAACTCTGAACGTGATTGGCTCCTTGCCTCTCCTCGATTTCTCCGGACGGGACGGCTTTGGAACACCGGACGAACTTTCTGCGCAGTTCTGCTGGACCTGGATGCAAGGGGCTTCGCAGCGACACGACTTGGGCATCCTGGGTTTGGGCACACCTTCGACCACAGGCATGGTCGACTGCCACCGGCTAAGACAGCGCCAGTGCGATGGGGTGCTTCCGACAACGTCGAAAATGCTTTGCGCAACATCGCTGTCAAACTGCAAGTGCGTGGGAACAGGACAGACTCGGAAACTGTACGTTATTTTACGGCTTGCAGCTCGACAGCGTCCTCCCAAAACAGGCTCTTGCTTTGTTCAGAAAATTTCGACTATGAGGGGATATGAGGGGGATGCCGGGCCAGACGTGTCGGCGGGACAAGGCGTAAATTTGGACACCGTGGATTCAGCTTCAGAAGAAGACTTGACCCACGTCCCCAGCATGCAATCCTTACCTTGGCACGACTCCTCGTCGCAGCTGGGTTCTGTCATTCAGCGGACGTGCTTGCTGTGCTGTGGCGGGCTGGCTGTGGCTGATGTTATGTTGCTGTTGATGTGGATGAAGATAATGATGTCTCCGGGATATTCGGTAGAACAATGTGGGTTGACTCATGCTGCTGCGCAAGGTGTGAGTCCTCTGCAAAAGTATGCGAGTAGTTTTGTTTTTGATGTCCGTGCTGATGGATAATATGAGACCGCTCTGTTCAGGCTATCTTGCTTGACACAGTTTCTTTTACCATGCACGGTAGTCTTGCTATCAAAGGTGTTTTTTTGTGTCGTGGTCCTGCTACAGAGCTGATGCAAGGAGGGTGCTCACGCAGTCTCCATTTGTCTTGCTTGTGTCGACGTCATGCAGACTGCCATGCATGCTGCTGCCCATATCGCAATGTAAACATATCGGAACAAATACAACGACACGATGACGGCTGAAACTTGGTGCACATGTCAGTTTCTTTTGCTAGTCAACATCACATTCGTTTGGCTGCCACTGTCACTGTAGTCCTTGGAAGCCGGCCTGAAGCAAACAAAGAGAAGGTCTTCGACGCCTTCGCAGAGGCTGGGTCTGAGGCAGGCGCCCATCAGCGGTCATAAATTCGTGTTGAAGATTTAGGCATCAAGGATTTGGATTTGGGCGGATGGTTCACAGTCACGAGCTGCACGGCTGGCATACGTTCAAAAGGCTTGTTAGGAACCGCAGCCAAGGTTCGAAGCAACAGGAGCTGCCCTTTTCGAAGCTTGCTCTCCGATTGCAACATTCACGCAAACACGAGCAAGGAGTCTAGGTACAGCCGATCGAAATGATTTGCCACTTTGCCGGTGTGGTTGGTCAGGCCTCAAGTCCCAGCAGCCCACGGCGTGTTCGATTCTTAGCTTCAAGCGTTCGTGCTTGCGTGAAGATCGCGATATGAACTGCAATGTGTCTTGAAGTTTCTCCTTTGGCCGGCTACGTGCCGAAAACCTGCGACTACCAAGAACTTTTTTTTGTAATAACTACTCGCAAGCTAATTGTTTTGGTATTCGGGTTCCGGGGACGGTCAGCTTCCCAGCTATCACAATGTAAGTTCATAGCTTTCTGGTCCATGGCAATTGCAGATTATAATTGTGTGCCCGAGAAACAATTCATTTGCAAATTAAGTGTCCGCTGGGTGGGTAGTAGGTCGTCGTCGAAGCAGTCGTAGCAGTCGCAGCAGTGATCGTCGTCGTCGCCCTAGTAGTAGTAGTAGTAGTA